ATGTTAGATTATGTCAGATTTTCAGAATATGCATGTTTTAGCCGGTATTATTCATGACCTTAATTCTAGAATGATTATACTTGGTCGCATGCATGATAGATTATAGTGATAAAGATATAAGATTAAAGTTGAGTAGCATCCCTCGTTTTTAAAGTTAAAGTATTTTCAAAAAAAATAATATGAGTTTTCGAATTAAATAGTGCTTTCCTTTTATAGCGCGAAAAATTTACTCTGATTTTAGTAAGTTTTAGGCGGGGTGTTACAGTTGGTATCAGAGCCACTTAGTGGTTCTGTATACTAAAATTTTAGTGAGATATGACCACACCACGCTCACGCCACGCTGACTCCGAGGTACATCACCTGTACAGCTTTTATTTGCGAATGCATATTTAAATATATTCAGATTATTTCAGGGGCGTTAGATCTATCCTTCGATTTAGATTTGAGAATTCTAGTCAGAACTCTAGTAAGAACTTAGAAGATTTTAGTGTAACCGGAACTCTAGCCAAGCTAGGTGTTTTCGGAATTCGATAAATTATTAAAGTATAGTGTAGCTATTTATTAATCGGCTATACTGTTTCAGTCAGAATTTCAGCAGAGTCTGTTAATTGTACGCTCTTCCGTTGACTTTTCGGAGGATGGAGCGGAATATAACTCTAGTAACAACCTCGATTATGTTGTGGGCAAGTACATTTTTCTACGTATCGAGGATAGTCATGGTGATATATTGGCGCCATAAGATCGAATTCAAACCTTAGAATTAAGACTGGGTAAATTATACATTCCAGTAAATTTTGCCAGAAATGGCAAAACCTAACAAGCAATAGCTGACCCAAGATCAATAAGGAGAAGGAAATGCCAGCGCCTACGCTCGTCACCACTAGAAGCAGAAGTCCAGAAGACTTAAGAAGATGCGTGTAGTTTAATTATCTCTATTCCGTGAACCCGCAATACTTTTGTTATGGGAATTTCTCCATTCTTTTGAACTCCGTTAAAAATTCAAGTTGAGACCAAAATTTCAGTGCATTTCTAATGTAAGCAAAGAGCGAGTTATTTCTATAATTTGACACTTGCGAAGGTTAGATTATCGCGTCAATAGATTGCAACACATAGATAAAGCAGTAGACTTTCCATTGCTTGAACTATGTGAGTTTTGAGTTAAGTTATAACTCTAGAGGTTACCTCACTTGAGTTTGCAAGAGCCTTTCAGCTAGTATAAGAAGTAATAGTTTTTCTGTGTATAAGAGTCATAGATCCGGGTAAGTCCTGGAGGCTTGAAATAAAAGCCATGAGTCCGGGAGGAACCATGGAGGCTTGAAACTGAACCATAACAGATATATTTTCCATATGAGGTGATCTCTAGTAGTTAGAGTAAGAAGAGACCCAGATTAGAGTAAACTAGAGCGAGGATTGCACGTTGAGTCATGTTTTGACTCCGTCACCCAAGGAAGCTCCAATAGTATGAGAATACTCAGACGACAGTTCGCAGGGAAGTTAATGAAAGTCGAGTGGGAGTTCGCAACCACCATGATTTAAAAAGGAGAACCAACTTCCGCACGCGTGGAAGTTGAGATAGCATGTTTAAAAAGTCGAAGACTTATAAATTCCGCATACCTGTGCCGAATGCCACAACTCTCGAGTTGGAAGTTGTGGGCAGATGGGCGATATGTCGATAAAAAAATTCTAGAGGCCATGAGAGACAAAGAGAATACTTCACTGACAACGTCCGGAGAGTTAACCATTGTTTGCAGTCACGTGTACGTATTTTCAAAAATGTTACCGAGAAGACCACATAACCGACAAATGAAATTCGATCGACCTGTTGCTGGAGTAGGACTAGCGCCCAAAGCGCCAAAACGAGAGATTCCACGAAGCTGCAAGAGTTGAAGACCCAGACGCCAAGAAGCTGCAATAGCTGAAGACCCAGACGCCGAGAAGCTACAAGAGCTGAAGACCCAGACGCCAAGAAGCTGCAAGAACTGAAGACCCATATCTGAATTGTGAATTGTTGGACCAAGGGCGTCACTTTAGGGGGCGCCCGATGGTTCATGAAGGAAGGAGATGTGAACCAATTACCAAAAGTTATGTAGACTCAAGGAGGAGAGTAAGTACTCACCTTTGAGAGTCGAAAAGTTGTTAACCCATGCGAGAAGACAACAAGTTCCAAGATTAAACTTGAAGCTCGGACATCCTCTGTGAGAAGTTGAAGAGCCGAAGCCTCAAGATCAGAAAGCACGAGAAAGTTGAGGTGATGAAGTCATCTCTAAGTACTAGTGGTGTACGACATCACTAGTTTTAGATTAGACGTTGCGGGAAGAAAGAGCAGAAAAGCCTCAACATTGAAATTTTAAGTACCCTTGGGAAAATTTTTACCCATATAAGTAGTGGGACCCTCGATTTGTATCAGGAAGAAGTTAGATCCAGTAGTAGTACGCCGAGTTAACTCAGCGCCGCAGTACCGTGAAGCCACTAGCATAAGACGTGGATACGACTGTGTTATGACTGCAGGCGACGCTGACGCCGCAGGTACATCGCGCGCAGGTATAGCATGCAGGTGTTCCGCGCCCGTGGGCCCCGGGTGGTGGGTAAACCGCATACAACGTACCGTGTGCAACGTACCGCATTGTCAGGAGCCGAGTCACAGCAAGTCGAACCACAATTTCTAGTTGTTCTCATCAATATTACAGATCGATGGACGATCAGAACGCTCAGATGCTTGCGTTCTGAACGACAATTTCATTCGAAAGAGCGATTTTCTACTGAGATAGTTGAGAAATGTCGATTGGTATAACATCGTACGATTGAGTACGGACAAGTGTGGATCGTTGACATACAAGAAAGAAATAGCGAGAGAAAGATTCTCGGTCAATAGTAGACCAACAGACAGTAGAGAAGAGATCAGCAATCCATGCTAAGATTAAGGCAACCCTGAACCGACGAAAGTTGCATACAGGCTAGCCACAGAAAGACTTTCAGACCAGTGTGAACAGCAATATGACCCCGAGGGTCACAATTGCAGAGGAGCAACAGTCTAGTTAGCCCAGTCATTCTCAGCATATAGCCGAGACGGCGAGTTAAGCCTAACGTTTGAGGCTTTGTCGCTGAAATTCTCGGGGAAAGTTGAGCGGTTTTTCCCCACGTCTCGAATTCGAGAAGATGTGCTCGAGCTCGAACACGTGGAAGCCATAGATGAGCCTCATGTTGATCCGAGTTGACCCGTGAGATAGTGCCTACGACCATTTTTGGCAGAAGGTACACTAGTCAGAGAGTCGTGAAGTAGGTCTCTCTGAGTCCAGGAGTGTCGCTGTAGCTAGGGCGATGCTGCTAAGAGTATAGATGAGCTTCTTTGAAGTTCCCTAGTATAGTTTCTAGAGTTTTGTCTTGGATTTTATCTAAGACACATAGTGAGATTTTAGCGAGTTGCCATGATGAACGAGTACCAGCGATACCGGCCAATGCCGGTACTGCCCTATTACTGTATCCAGACAAAGACCCCAGTTTCTTGACTTAGGTTAACGGTGTATAATAGCCATGAGGCCGGGAAAATTATGGAGGCTTGAAATAAGAGTCACTAGTCCGAATTTACCTGGGGGCTTGATATCGGAGTTGCCATGGCATAGCCGAGATCACTAACATGAGGAAGTCAAATTCAGAATTAGTAATCCTAGACTTGAGTTTATTTTGTCTCTGGCCTTGAAGTTTAGAGTTTTGTCATATACCTTAGTTAGCATTTCCAAGTTCTTGGAAGAGTGCTTGGTTTGCCAGCAGGTGAATGCCAAGCACAAATTCCACCCCAGTGGCGTGCAACCATTAGAAGTTTTCGATGTGAAAGTGGGAGCACGTTACCATGGATTTCGTTACGGGACTACCCAAATCAAAAGAGCAGCTCGATGTGGTTTGGGTAGTTGTGGACCGACTGGCGAAGTCGGCCCGCGTTTGCCCGTGAGGATGACGATGACCAGGGAACAGCTTTTCAGTATTTACATCCGTGGGATTACTCAATTCCACGGAGTATCCGAGAGTATAATGTCAGTCGGAGATCCCTATTATATAGGCTCATTCGATATCCTCTATCGAGTGGGCGAGGTAGTATGCAGTTTGGCGTTGCCACCCGAGCTTTCGGGTGTGGACAACGTTTTTCGCGTATCGATGTTGAGAAATTACGTGCATGATCTAAGGCACGTGTTGAATTTCAGAAAGCTCGAGGCCGGACAGAACCTGACTTACGAGGAGCAGCCGGTAGCGATTTCGGACCAAAAGGTCCAACGGCTGAGGAATAGAGAT